GGGTCCCCTCACCTTCAGCCCTTTGGCTCTGTTGATGGCTCGCAGCGGTCGGAGCACCCTCAGCACCCTCAGGATCTTCACCACTGAGATGGAGCTGGACCTGAAGGTAACCGGGGGGCAGGGCTGAGGGCAGCGCCCAGCCCCCCGCCTCCTGCTCCGGCCGGGCCTCTTTCTCCCCGAAAACACTGCCATCTCCCCTACGCTCCCCCTGGCTGGGTGTGCGTCCCAGGATAAAGCGCCTTCTGCGAACAGGGCGCCCTCCTCCTGTACCAGCTGCACAGCAAAGGCTCCCTCTGCAGGGGGCACGGCTTGTGTCCCCATCTGGCTGGGAGCACCAAGAACAGGGACCGTGCTCCCCATGGGGCAGCTGGGGGACCGCCTTCTCCTCTCTGTATCCCAGCATGTGGATCTGCTCGCTTAGCACTGTCACTTCAGTCCAGTTGGTGACACCCCAAGGGACCCGACCCTCTGTGAATGGCTCTGAGACATCCTCTCCTTGCGGCTCGGTTCTACCAACGAGCAGCAGGCGACTCCTGCTCTGAGGCCCTGGCATGGAGCAGGGGGGGGTCCGCGCCCCAGCTGGCGCTGCCAGTGCTCACGGGAGTCCCATGGAGATGAGTGACACGGCCACCACCAGCAGGTCCAGGATGTTGAAGTAGTTGCGGCAGAAGGAGCCTTTGTGCAGGAAGGCACCATAGGTGGTCATCTGGGGAGAGAGAGGCAGCACCTAGGTGGGGATGGGCTGGGGACAGGCCTGTCCCCAACAGGGGAGGGTTTCTGGGGGGAAGGTTTGCCTCAGTCTGCTCCCGGAAGAGGCAAGGGTCTGCCAGAAGACCTCTGTATTCCCACCCATCCCTCGCTGTGTCCTAAGCATGCCCGCCCCCCATTTTCTGCTCCCTGTTCTGGAAGCATGGAGACCTCTCACAGCCCATCTCTTTTGTCAGATGCCACAGGGAGTCCTGGGTCTCCGTCCCCGTGGGGCCACAGAGTGGGGAAGCCCCGACCTCCTCTCTCTTACAATTCCTCCTTTCAAGAAGCTTCTTCGGAGGTCACCTCTGCCCTAAGGATGTCTGCGTCGGCTGAACCACCCCGCCAGGACTTGAAGACCTTCGCCGGGTCCCTGACTCCTCTCTTTCCAGCCCCCTGCACCCCTGGCTGCTCTCAGCGTCTTTCGTAAACTCTCTGACGATCTCCCAGGCCCTCTGCACACACACACATGCCCTCGACATCTGATAGGGTTGAGGCCTTTCCTGGCCCTCAGGGCCCTGTGAGAGCCCATCTCCACCTGCCTTCCCAGCCTTTGAGCCAGGCCTCTGCTGTGTGTGTGTTACACCCCTGCCCAGAGGGGCCCCTGTCTGAGCATGTCCCAAACTTCTTACAACGCATTTACCACTGTTCTGTCCTCCCGGACTGCCCCTGTTCTCTCTCCCTAACGAAGTCCTGTACAACTTCAAGGTCTAAGTCTAATGCCACCTCCTCATCCCACCCCAGAAAGTCCTGCTGGACCTCAGGGGAGCCACCGTCTTCCTCTGCTCAACTCCTTTAATCGTCAGGACCCTGAAGTAAGGCACCATCCTCATTTCATAGCGCAGCATGCTTGGCACGGCTTTTCTCCGGCATGTCTCCCCACTCCCCTCCTTGGTTCTGGGGCTCCTGGGGCTTAGTCACACAGATAGCCCGCCCTCTGCCCCCCAGATCCTCAGCCATGATGCTGTGACCCCAGTGCATCCACCTGGAGAATGGGTGAGTGGCGACGTGCTGTGGACAAGGAGCGGGACAGCAAGACAGGGCAGAGCTGCCAGAAACCCAGCCCAGGGCAACAGACACTTCCCCGGGGGTGCCGGGACGGGGAGGCCTCTCAGCCATTGGTGATGAAGGCTTAGGAATGAATACAACTCCCCGCGTCCACCCTCGGGCTAACTGTGTCCTGAACACGGAAGGAAAATGCCCAGTGCTCCACGGACTCGACTGTTCGGCGGAAAGGCCTGGGCTGCGGGGGCTGCATGTCATGTCTCCACCGTCCACCTGCTCATGTGCTTGGCCCAGCCTGTGAGCGGAAGCCTTAGCTGGTCTCCTGCGCCTCCCTGCTGCTCTCTGCTTCCCCCTTGCTTCCCCCTCATCCCTGCCATCCAGCCCCCAAGTGAGTGCTGTGTGAGTAAACTGGGGCCACATCAGATCTGACCCCCTGACCCCACACCCCAGCTGTCCCACAGCCTTCACTCACCTTGAGGACAATCTCCACAGTGAAGACAGAGGTGAATCCAATGTCAAAATACCCGAGGATCTGGGGACAGGACAGAGGAGGAGAAGTCAGTGAGAGGAAGGGTAGATCAAAGATATTATCACCATCATCACCGTTACCACCATTATCACCATCANCCCTCCTGCGCCGAGGGGCTCGGTTCCCAGCTCCCCCAGCCTGAAAGGCCACCTGCCCCCCTGTCCGGCGGCCCTCCCACCGGGCCCCCTCGGCCAGCAGCGCACAGCGCACCTGCATTCCTCCTCCGTCATCTTGGACAAGTCATTGCACCTGAAGAACTTCCCCTGCGTCCAGGAGGAGGGGTGGGGAGACACGTTGTCACGGAAACAAGATGGAAAATGGGTGTCAACCGAGTAAGAAGGCAGGGCCTCTGGAAGGAGGGGCCTGTGTCTTCCTCCCAGAGAGGGTGGGGGCCCTCCTGCCCGGCACCCTTTCCCTCGGCCTGCTCTGGGCCCACAGGAGGGGCATGAGGGCTTTGCTGCACGATGCCCTCAGCCCTGGCAGAGGCCCTGACCCAGAGGACAAGCGCCACACATGTTCGTTGAATGAATGAGTGATAGTACACGGTGCCAGTGCGCGTCTAAGTCTGACGGCTACATCTCGTGCTTTTAAAAGATCACACTTGGGGGTAGGAGCAGGTTGGGTCACGAAAGGAGCCTTCAGGGTGTCAAGGGTGTGCCCAGGCATCAGTTTCTGTGTCCTGCAGGCGACCCAAAAGCTGAAGGCTTCTGGAAACCAGCTCGGTGGGAGGGCCTCCAGGTAGGGCTGGTTCCAGAGGCAGGAAGACAGCAGCTACCCTGGGGGGGGGTGCGGGGGGCCAGCAGAGCCTTGGAGGACACCTGGGGCTCCCTGCGCTGAGAGGGAAGTGGGCGGGCTCTTGCCTGGGCCCGAGGGCTAGCACCAGGGCCGGTGGGTTCACCTTGAACATCTGGACTCCAATGCAGGCGAACATGAACTGCAGGAGGGTGGTGACCAGGACAATGTTCCCGATGGTGCGGATGGCCACGAACACGCACTGCACCACGTGCTGGGGAGAGAGGGGCCGATGGGGGCCTGGCCGGCAGCACCCCACCCTCGGACTCCCAGCTGGGGGACC